TATATTAAATTATTTGTGACTAGATTCAAGTCGTTAAGAGGACGATTCGCGAGGCAAGGGCTTATTGGAGTAGTGAGTTGTGCGTTTTGAGGTAAGTAACACTTCTAAACTTGAAATTGAGGGTATTTATCCCTGAAACACATGTTATTTGTGTTGTGTTGCGTGACGCACATGCTAGGTGACGGGCGTGTGGGCGTGCACCGTGATAACCATAATCTAGGTTGATTTTGTATGGAGTTGCTATCAAGTCTTGTTTTATCCGTAAAATTCTTTCTTGTTAAAGTAATTGAGCTGTGATTCATGCTAGAAATCATGTTTAGGCTATATGCTTATTCAATTGAGACTTAATGAGGTTATTTCTGTAGTTTTGAGTTATCTACTTTAATTACAATTATATACTTAGTCATGATTCATCTTTTTCACATCATATCTCAACCTCTGTTTATCATTCATAATTACATCACATATTATCATTATTTGGGCTGAGTGGTACGAGATTTGTGAGCCCTTGAAAGATTGATGACTGATATGGGCCTGAGAGCTATATTATGAGTGATATTGTGGATCAGGTTGCATGCCGCATCATGCCATATTGGCTTTACAATTATTGTTACTATGTGGATTGGGTTGTACGCCGCAGCAGGCCTTATAATCTTTATATTAGCGCTTGGGCAGGATCCGCCCCTCCGAAGTATGACATACCGGCAGTGAGGGCATGCACAATGATATATGCGCGCTATGGTGTGGGGAATTGATGTCAGGCACTCATACAGTGCTGAGTGATTGTGTGTGTGATGAGTGGGCATTTGAGGCAAGCATGTTGAGTACTCTAAGAGTGTGAGTACTTGGGAAATATCATTGTGAAATCATACATTTGACATGCATCTTTGACATGTAAGCATAGAAATGTACCATTCCTCATGCTAGATGTACTTGACATGTCCTTATCAGTGGTTGGTCTTTAATTCTGTACTTGAAAGCATGTCTAAATTTCTATACCATGAACGAGCTGATTATGGAAATTTCTCTGAGTTATTTATTACTATCGTCATCATTATACCTATGTTGTCATTATATTGGTTTTGACTGTATCCTTCTGAGCTCGTCACTGCTTTTAGCCCAAGGTTAGTTCTGTTACTTATTGAGTACATAGGGTCGGTTGTACTCATACTATACTATGTACTTCGTGTGCAGATCCAGGTACATCTGGACATGGTGATTGCTAGATCTGTGCTAGTACCTGCTTGGAGACTTCGAAGTAGTTGTTATGACGTCTGCAGACTTGACTCTCTTTTCTTTTATTTTCTTCTGTACTGTTCTACTACGCAGACAGTTGCACTAGTGTTTTGGTTTATGTTGATACTTAGTAGTGCTCATGTACTCGTTGACACTACGTTTTGGGATGGTTGTAGTAGAGTTTCAATTATTTTTTTAGATAATTATGTTTCGCTCTTGAGTTTATTAAACCATATTTTATTCAAATGTTTAGTTGTTATGTGATTGTCAGCTTGCCTAGCAAGTATGTTAAGTGCCATCATGACAGGTTGGGATTTTGGGTCGTGATATCGTACAAGTTCTGATTTTTGCCCATGTTCCCGTCGAGATGGACCGATATAAGGCTCGTACCTATTTTTCGAACTCCTTCAATGAACCTCTGTTTCTTCCTCTATTTGGAGCTTTGTATTATATCGGTTGTAAATTTTATTTCTCGATTCCAGGAAGGTCTGGCGTTTTTCTTCTAACTCTTTCGATCTGATTCGGATCTCCTAAGAATCACCTCTATTTCGTCTCCGAACCTGTTTCCAGACATCCTATCAGTGTCGATTCGACTCACCGTGCCTTCTTTTGTTCGAAAAATAGTATTGTACCGGTTATGCATATCATTCTCGTGGGGTAGTTGGGAATTCCCGAAGGTGTTATATCCGCACATTCTATTCCTTGATCTGTTTCTACAAGTTAGAATTAAATTTTGCAAATCGAAATTACTTGGTGTATTTGAACCTCCTGTTTACTGAACTGTTTGTTGTAGATCTGTTATAATCAGTTCCGGTACTAATAGTTATAGTACCAATATGTCTAGTATCGATGTCCATTTTGTATTTTTCTCTGTTCGTTTCTTACCTATCATTATCATGGCTATTCTTTTATTTTTATTTTTCCTGATAAATCCATCTCTAACTTGGTTGTCTCAACTGTATTGATTGGCAAATAATTGGCTATGACAAAGGTTTAAAATAAAAACAAGCAAAGATGAACAAAAAAATGTTAGTATCTTTGGATGAATAGAAAATTTGCTTGGACCCCGGCAGCGGACCAAACTGTTTTAACCTAAAAATCGTACTTAATAGATTATGCAATTAAGTTTGTATGATGGGCCACAAGCAACCGATTCGATCCAAAAGATATAATTTTTGTTAATACAACGTGATAGAGAAATAAAAAATGAATTCAATGACAAATAATATAGTAAAAATAAAGCAGAGAAGAGATAATTCTTATTAGATGATCCTTGATAGGATGTTGAGTCGAACAGAGCTTGATGAACCGAACTATGGCAAACTAGGGAGCAAATTGCTATGAATTACAATGTTTAAAATTGTAGAGACGAAAATTAGTTGATTACAATGGTGGTAAAATGTGTCTATTTATAGGACTAGTTCTAGGCAACCATTCTCCTTGAATTACGGGTCTATTATGAGCATTTACTCAATACATTTCTTACTTTTGGAAGACTTGTAACAACTGAGTAAATGCTGGAATTCCGTAACCGATGGATTAATTTCGTAGTTGTTGAGTTAATTCCACAACTAATGAGTTTTTTTTAAGCAAATATATCACTCGGCTTGATGCCTTGTGGCGAATATATAAATAATAATCCAAAATAGGAATCCAATTTGTACATAAAAATTAATTAAGCACAGAAAAAGGTATAAAAAAAAAAGCAATATTCTAGCTATTACAAAAGTTTTAATTGGACAGATTCCAGCCAAAGGCGTAGTATGTATCCTGTAGCCCATTGCAAAACCTCTGTGTAGCACCTCAAACGCTCTCACTAGGCGCTATGTTTTACGAACCAAAAAGGTTAGGCTATCATGAATCTTCAACGTACTCCTTGCATAGCTTAGTCTGTCCAATAATCTACTGATGCGCGCAACCAATTATGATGCCTTTGTCTTTCCGTCGTGGCATATACCATTTGCATCTCATGGTTGTTGTATAATCTGAAGAAAACACACAACAGTAAAGAGGTTGAACTCATGTATTGTTCCTTGTCGATCACTGTCAGGCTAATCAGCAGCCGAAGAAAAATAATGTTCCCTGGTGTATGTCTAAGCAAATTGGTTGAGCTGCAACTGAGACAGCCGTTAACATGCTGGCCACATTGCACTTGCAACCATTATTAGAACTTGTATAGAGTACCTGCAAAATTGACAAACCAGTTATTTCCATATGAGTTCTCAGTTTATGATTCTTGATGTTGGCTTCAGTGACATCTTTTCTCAGGTTCTTGTGTAACTGGTAAAGAGTATGCTATGAGGTCAGCTGCTGCAATCTTGAACTTGGATGTCCAGTTGTTTAGGATTGATATTCCTGAAGAGTTGAATTGGCCTGCTCCTTCTGTGGTTGAGGAGTTGTTTTGACTGATGATGTACATTTCACTTAGCATCTTTCTAGCATTACGAGAATTGTAACATCAGTGATCCTTTGATTTCCAGTTTTGGATGAGTTTGTTAGTGTTGTCATAACTTGTTGCTTTCATGTGAAGAAGCAGTTGCGATGATTATTGTGAAATCTGCTCAATCCGGAGCCTTCTTTTTGCAATTCTAATCCTTAGATTAGGAGTTTGAGACTTGTCGAGGTTTAGTAGTTTCCTCCCTTCACTAGTCATCTCTATGAACGAGTGAAATATAGTTGATCCCGCAAAATTGAAAGCACTGTTAGCTATATAATCTGCCATTGTATTGCCTTCTCTATAGACATGTTGAAATATCACATTAAAGTGTTCCCTCAATCCCCTAATCTTCTGCACTTCTGCCCCTATACACCAAGGTGTCACCCACTGGCCTTTGATGACTTTTTTCAAAACCAAAGAATCTGTCTCCAATATCATTGGTTGAAGGTCATGCGTCACACAATATTTCAACCCTTGAAGTATTGCTTTTGCTTAATTCCGTAGGTGATGAGTTTATTCTGCAACTGATTGCCCTGTTCTGCCCGTTACAACTATTTATTGTATATTATACTTTGCATAATTGATTAGTAACTGATAGCGCAATTATGGCAATTCCCGTGTAATCCACGATTAAATTGATTCTTTCCTTATTCGTAATTATGAGCGATTATCCGTACCTGATCCGAGGCTATTTTATGATGATCAGTCCCGAAACTAATAGGTATGGTATTTAGCTTCGAGTGTTCTTTACATTCTATCCGCGTCATTTTTTACTTTTATCATAACTTGACACATTGAAGCTTAATTGATCCACGTGGCGAGTCTATTTTTGACTAATACATTTAGGATAACTCATATTCTTTGTTTTATTGAGAACTAATATTTGAATTAACACTAAATTACACAGCAAGTTTAAAGCAAGTTTAAACCTTGACACCTTTACTTCAGAAACCAACCATGCTACAACTTCATTATGTTCGCTTCTTCCTGCAAAAGGTTCATTACTTGATCTGGAAATATTGGCTTTATAAAATTAAATCTTGAGCTTCACAAGGGTTGAGAATTTGAAACTTCATTCATGCATTTAGGCCTGTCTAGGAACGCGGGGATCATGGAACCTAGCTCAGGAACCCTTTAATCCTTTCAAGAATGTGATTATTCTTCATATTCAGGAGCTCACGCAATAGCGTGAAAGAAGTCCTACTAAAGAAGCAGATGAAGCAACCGTCTTAGTATATGGAAGGGCAGTTCTGTTGAAATTACATCTTGAGTTTATAAAGTAAAGGGCTGAGAATTCGAACAAATTGAGGACCATAATAAAAAAATATCAGAATTCAAAACCAAACTTGTACCATTTGTATTTATTCAGAGTATGCTCAATAGATGTTGAGGGATGCACTGTGTAAGGTGCGCTGGTCAAGACTCGAGAAATATAGACATTTCTACTCTGCTAGAGACAAACTGCTATTAAAACTAAACAACATATTTTCTACTCAGGTAGTAGAGGTAATCTATCCACCCTGAAGGCAGATCCATTTGATTCAGCATTCGGGCTGAATAATTCATCAACTTCGCTCTCATCATCAACTCCTTCACTATCCTGACTGTCTTCATCAGGTGCACCGGAGAAAGGGAGAATTCGAAGCCTTACATCCGTTCCTGTTCCAATTCGCTCTGATTTTAGCTTGTACTTCCTAATAAGATCCTTCTGAAGCAATATAATATTTGAAGGCCGAGGGAGTAGCTCAACAGGTTCCCCTTTTGGAATTACTACACGCTCCATGCCTATTCTAGCCTCCTGCAAAATCCACTAACGGCTTTAAAACAATTCCAGTAATTAAATTATTTGTTGATTTATCTGAGAACATAGATAACTAATCAGGACAGATGGGAATTATCAATAGAAGATTATTTAAATACAATGCTGGAGCCATCAGGGTAGCAACCATTCTTTTCCTTCTTCGCTGATTAGTTCTTTTTCTTTTTCTGCTTTGTTTCTTCTGTTTATTTCGTTGAGCTAATGAATATCGGTTCAATTTCGATTAAAGCAATAATTATCATGAACTAAACATTACATGTAGACATTATCCTCAAGCCCATACCCATTTACGACTACATCCAGAAGCATTACAAGTTAGTTTTAACAGTAATGAAGTTCTAGTAACTAGAGTGCAAAATGTGGATGGTGACAAGCTCCATTTCCTAATAAAACAAAGGGCTTGTGCAGATTAGTTAGTTGATTCTTTTTTTGGATGAATATTAGCAAGTTGATATTTTTTTAATCTGTTGGCTAATTAAGCTTGTCTAATTTGCAAAGGATAATTCCTCTGGAAAATTGACAGTGTATGATAGAGCGCTTTATGACCTTAATCTGAATGCTCCCACTCCTTCAGCATTCTGCATTAGATTCTAGCTAGTAGGATAATATATTTGTTGAATGCTCTACCTTCAGATGAGACCTTAGGCAACAAGACACTTCACACAAACATTTAAAACATTAGTCTGAAATGAAACTCTCTCTTTTCTTCTGCAAATAGCAGATGTCTTGGTCTGAAATGAAAACACGGACCCTTTTTTCATCAAAAAGAAATGAAAACACAGACTTGGTTAGTCCTAAGTTGAAGTCCACTTTATCTTCTGTTTCACTGCAAATTTCAGATGTCCTCACACAGCATGACAAGATGGTACAGTAGATATGTTTCAGGCCAACGACACCATTTGACTTCATTGGAACCTCCATGTTTTCCAGATAGCGAAAATTAGCAATACATCATAAAATTTAAAAGCCAACTTAAGGTCAGTCACCACTCCGCTTTATCATGCAATGCCCATTATCATATTGATGGAGGTTAGCAGCTAGAGTTCTCGAATTTGTTTTTTTCCAAAGAAGTACTAGAAAAAAGAATACAAGGGGAAATTACCTCCAACGCATCAATCTTTTCAGACTCATTCGTCTTAGCTTCAGATTCGAGAAACTCAAAGCCATCAGCAAAATCATCCATTAATGCCTCTATAGCCTTTGCCAACTGCGTTGAGGAGCTTGTCTGCAAAAGAGAAAGATACTTTCATATAAAGGGCACAAGGATAGTGAATTTGAACTTTAAAGAGACAACAGATAATGCATAAAACAACTCATCTTGTTTTTCCCTTCTTTCTTCAGAACTTTCATTCAATGAGGAGATATTGCAAGTTCTCTCTAACAAATACCTTTGTCATATAAATCGGAATGCCGTGAGATTTTGCAGCTGCTTGAATCCGAGAGTTTTTCTTAAGCTTGGACTGCAGAGCAAGTAACACATCTGCTTCGCTGATATTATCAGTAAACTCAATGGCATCATCGATGTTTAACTGTTTTATCCCTTGTATCACACTCGCCTCTGAGATCTACAATACCTGCTCAAGTATGAGTTCCACATAGATGTTTTCATATAGAAGTGGAAGGAAGCTTTTTTCGCAGTTTTTCCTCTCTTCTATTATTTTTTTCTTTCATAAGAATCTCTTATTCCATGCCTTACTTTCCCTCATACTCATAAACGTTAAGAATCTTACAGCACTGAAAAAAGAGCTTTCTAATGAGACTTGTGCCACTATTTTCGCCCAACATGCCTATCAGATTAACTCAAATGCTTCAATAAATGATACAATTTTTTTTCTTTGATAAGTGTAAATGATAGTATAAAATTTGAAGAGGAAGCGCTACAATTTTAAACTAGTCTTTGACAATTACTTTAATGAGTGACATCTTAATGAGCTAAAGCAAAGAAGAACCTCCCCTCTTGTCCACACATACAAGGATTGACTACACTCTAGCAGCAACTATTTGTTTAGACGTGATGAACATGAAGTTCTTTTTTCCAGGAATATTTTGAATAAAAATATTTGATGGGCTTGAATCTGGTTAGGGTCGGCCTCAATCCTCCACCACAATGGTGGCCATTTGAAAAAAAAAATCTGGATAGTCAACCAAAAGAAAAATCATTCACGCTCGATACATCTACTCTTCATTTTTGGGGCCACGCACTTTACGCATAGGAAAAGGGGTATGTGGGACCTTAACATGAGAAGAGAGGCAAAGGCAAGTAAGTATACTGGAGAAGTTATCAAATTAGGTTTATTAGAAAGAAGTTAAAAGATATTGAACTTTGCAGCAAATTAAATAACAATAATATGCTAATGCAGAACCAACATGTACTAGGAAGTAATTCAACTCTTTTGGAAATTGATTCTCTTCTAAAGGCCCTTTAACCATATGACTACAAGCTCGGCAGTAAATATGAACTAAGAGAACAGATTCTGAGACCGAGATTTTACTTATTACCAAATTTATACATATTCAGAGTTATGATGTCATTCTTTTTTCCTTGGGAGGAAGTGAATCGTAATATCTTACCCCATAAAGAAAAATGCAAAGGGCATTCTCACTTTCACCAGACCCTCCTTCAATGCTTGGATCTGTTTCCGAGATGAGCTCGGTAGAACCAGGTACACCTCCATTCATCTGGATAATATCTTCAACCAAAACTTCATTCCTCTCATCAAATGGTGCTTGGGTGGATGAACTTTCCCTTGTTTCATCTTGTGATCCTGGATTTATCTTGCGGGTTTCATATCTTGGGTAACGGCCTTCTCAACATGACATTAAAACCATGGCAGACAACATCCAATTAGCATTCCGAAATTATTTATCAGCAACTTATTTTGTTAGGACATAGGAGATGAGGGAGGACTAGAAAAAGACCTGCAAGAATTGCATCTACTGTTGCTTCTAAATCAGGGTGAACTCTCAGTTCTGCCTTGGAGATTATCTCAACCCCACAGCTAAAAGCTGATGGACCCTTCCTCTCCAGCACACTTTTCTGAACACCTCTCCTGCTTGCCTCTTCATCGCCAAGTGTTACACTCTGACAAAGAAATAAATGAATGCAACTATTTTACAAACCTGAAAAAGAGCAGCTTCTAAATCGTCCAATAGTGTATGAGTAGAGAATCACACCATCTCGTTAATGGTATTATGGCATTGGAATAATAGAGTTAGACCTGGCATCATCCTTTGTAACCAACTTTTCCACTAGATTCCAAAGTTCTATTGCTTTAGTATGTGATACTGAAATAAACTATTAACACTACACCTTCCCCATCTATAAAAGATACAGACAATCACCATAGCAAGGTAGATGCCCTTAAGCATTATTGTTTTTTATCTTCAGTTTCTCGCTTAGTCTTGTTTCTTTATCCTCCAGGCACCACTCACGATGCCATTGCATAGATATGTAGAGAATACATTGGTTCACTTTTTCTTTTTTGGATAAAGAAATACATTGGTTCACTTTATTGCAGTGATTTAAGTTTTCTTTTGTTTTACTCACCCTCTGTGCACCGCTCATGTTGCAATTGCATAGACAATGTAGAGAATGCATTGGTTCACCTATTGCAGTGATATTAGTTTTGCACACTACTCATGAGATATGGAAAGGGGAAAATAATATCTGGTACGATTATGAACAGTTGGATGCCCCTAGACATCTGACTAGCTTCTTTGGAAATAGACGTTCTATTATCTACTACTGTGAAGTAACAAGAGAAGTTTCATTGAGAAATTCACATGCTCATCCATGCATAATATAACAGCATTTTTACATCATTTACTAAGCATCAGCCCCAATGTTTAAATGTAACAACTGACTATGGAAAAGGTTTATCTGTTAAACAATAACTACCTGTACTCCTCCAACCAGCATCTCTAAAGCAGGATTCATCACTAAATTATCTATTGTTACTCCATGAGCAGTTGCAACTAACTGAATTCCTCGTTGTGCAATGGTGCTAGCAGCCATTGCCTCAAGGTTAGTACCAATCTCATCGATTACAATCACTTGTGGCATATGATTTTCCACTGCTTCTATCAGCACCTACAAAAATATTAGAGTAAATAACAATCCTCATTGATCGATGATCACTTGGCTCACATTTGGAGCCACTCAGTTAACGGAAGGCCAGATCCACCCAAAGCACACACCAGGCGTATCTTCAGGAAAGTGATTCATCTAGGAAATGTTGTTCTAATTTTGCTTCCATCAATGTGGTAAGATGGAAGGTCTCATCCAACAATAAATTACAGTGGTTGCGTCAACACAGCTTTTCAAAAATACTTTTATTTTCATCTTGCTAACTGAGTGAAAGATCAAATTCCTACCTTGTGTTGCACATCAGAGTGTGGAACTTGCATCCGGCGAGCATTACCTATCCCTGCATGAGGTATATCACCATCCCCGCCAATTTCATTAGATGTGTCAACAATCATTACGCGCTTCCCATAATCATTTGCAAGCATCCTGGCTATGTCCCTAGGAGAATAAAAAGGAATCCTTATATACTCGTCTGCAGAATCTCATGGAAAAAGTTTGATAGTGACAGCGGGTGCAACATGCACAATTGCAGTGGAATTATCAATATATGTTATAACTGAAGGATTTTCTACGTCTCAGAGTCCAAAGAGAAATGAGAGGAGAAAGCATGCAAGACGACGTGGGCGTGAAGATACAATGATAACCACATACAGACAGCTGAATCCTTGACAGAATGTTTAACAGCCTTCCATCACATTTTTGAGAAAGAAATGTGGGACGATGAGGAAGAAATGCAAGATGACACAAAATTCAAAAGCAACATTCATAATACACAACTAAGCATTCCCTGAATAAGAAATGTTCAGAAATGCACTCATTTGAAGTAAATGCAAATAGATGGATAAGATATGCATAATAACTGGTAATGGCTCTTTATGCAAGCACCCCAACTAAGAGCGGATTTCATAAATTTTCTCACAACTTCATCTCCGCATCATTCCATTAAATTACATTATAAACAAAGAGCACGTGTCTAGACTAGTCTCAGATGTAAAACTCTAGCCAAATATGCCCACAAAGACTTCGAAAATGCAGAAAGAAAGAAGAGATGAAGAAGTAAAAAGAATTGCATTGTGAGGAAACTAGAAAATATTTAATATAATCAGCTGTTTGTTACATACAAATTTGATAACGGGCCCACCACACAGTATTCAAAAAGTGCAAAAAACCTGTTTTGTTCCGCCAACAAGAAAATTTCACACACAGGGTTGGCAAAGACCTGATATAAAATCAAGAATCAAGCTATTCACTGGTTTCAAGCTACGCATGCATACCATGAGAAAACACAACCTGTTTCCAACCTTGAAGGAGCTAGGTAGCAGCTGTGTTGTGTAGCATCACTTGCCAAAAAATGAAATCCAGTTTGAATAGGAATTGGACATATTCGAAGAATGATTTCTATTTCCCTTTGTTATCGGAGACGGATCCAGGATTTAAACCCTATGGGTTCAAGTTTTAAGGTTTTTAGAATTGAACCCATTATATTTTGTAAGTTATGGGTTCATATCTACTATTTTTATAATTATAATGAATTTTTGTTCTTAAATTTTTACCCAACATCGAAAGTTATGGGTTCAACTGAACCCATAACTAGCACCCTACATCCGCCCCTGTTTGTTATTAGGTATCACCTCCTCCTATTCTCAAAATTGAGGCCAAATGTGAAGCAATATGAAATTACTTTCTTTCCAATGTCACAATCAGATATGCTATGGCAATGTTTAACATTAAGGAGGAGGAGGAGGAGGAGGAGAATCAAGGTTAAACAGCAGGAATGTTTCTATGGTTCATGCCATTGCACATGAAAGATCAAATGGCATAAGATGAGCGCACATATGAAGCCCAACCTGATAATAGTTGTTTTTCCAACTCCAGGAGGACCAATGAGCAACAGAGAAGCACCATCTTTAACTAGATCTCGCAATGCGTTGGCACTTCCAGATAGTGCACGACCAACTCGACAAGTTAATCCAATAATTGCACCTTTCCGGTTTCTAATAGCACTAATTCGGTGTAAAGTTCTGCTAATGCCAGCTCTATTATCAACTGCAAAGTCACCAACCTGTAATATGAGAAACCATCAAATTAGTATTAACCAATTGTTACTAGTACTACCTTCTGCCTTGGAACCAGGTGAATTGTTATCAACAACTACGTTTATTACATTTCCTTGAAAGAAAAGGGTGATATTTACTATTGAGTCTGCAACTAAATTACTAAAATAGCTGACTTCAATTAGGGTATAAAAGAACGCCTGAGTCTATGAGCATATAATTAAGACACCAAACTTTAAAAGTAACTTATTAAAACAATCGGGCAAAATATCAATGTTTCCACTCAAACAAAGGTTCAGTATATATGTGAGCACACATGCACCAAAGGGAGATCCAGTATTTGACCTTTATCGGTTCAAATTCGGGATTTAATCACAACTCATTTGATTACTGGGTTCGAAATCAGTTATTTGTACTTAGTTAGTGAAGTTTTTACCACATATACAGGGTCTGAGCCAAAGCTAGTGGTTTCAACGAACTCACAATTTAGCCCCTGGTGTGGGCCACCATATGTGTACACACTTATATATATACACACACTTAATCAAAGGTTCATTGTGTGTGAAGCTCATCAGAGTTGGCATGCCCTAATCAGAATCAAAGCCTTCCTAATTCAATTGAAGCCATAGTTGCAATTTTAAATCAGTTACTGGTACTGTAGCATGCAAGTAGCAGTAATTTATATTTGTTTGATTTTGACCTTGGATATAGCATGTTGAAGATCATCTAGGGTTATTGGATGATCGGACAAGATAAAATCGCCGGAGGGGAAGCGAGCAAGTGGCTTACGACCCAAGTCCATAACCACTTCAATTAAGTAGCAAAACTCTGGATGTTCGCTAACGCTCCGCCGCATCTCCTCCGGTAATAGCGTCAGTAATCGGCCCAATTCCACCTCAAACTCGTCACCAATCAAAGAAGTAGAAGATGGAAAACATGATGATAAGCTCAAGAACGAGGGTTTGCTCTGTAATTTTATGGGTAATACCGTAAAGGGTGAAAAATGGAGGGATTGAAATGGGAGTTTGGGGATTTGATTTTTGTAGTGAAAATGGAATTGTGGTTTTGGTGAAGAAGAGGAATGGAGTAAAGCAAAAGAGAGCATTGCTGCTTTCTTGGCGCTAAATTTTGCATTGGGATTTGGGTATTTGAAGTTTTGACTTCTCCTACTCGTATGTGTTTCAGAAATTCAGAGGTTTGACATAAATGAGCGGTTTAGCTTTGCTTATCCACTTTTTGTTTTTACTTTTTTTAAATACTAGTTCTCGGATATAATATAATATATTAATTCGGTTGATATATATATATTAAAAATACTATAATTCTGTTGATATTAATTAGAAAACGGGGAAGAGATTAGAAAGCATGATTATTATTTATTAATATATAATTTTATTTTATTTTAATTTATACATTATAGTTAAACGTTTTGAATCATGATTGTATTTATAAGAAAATAATTTTCTTCATAAAAAATCTGAAAATTTAAGTTAAAGAGAAATAAACGGAGAATTATCGTAAATGCAAGCTCTAGAAAACTTTTATCCATGCATGAGATGTTTAAGAAATAACTTTATTAGTAGTATTTATTATAGTGGATGTTCACTAATTGCATCACATTCATTATATAGAATTTATATCTAATATGGTATTTATTATAATGAGTATTTACATTTCTATCCAAAAAGAAATCTAGCAATAATATTTAATAGAAGGGAAAGAGTGTCATCTTTATAAGGATATTTTAGTATTTCAGTCTTCATCTAAAATGTTCACACTTATAATATAGTATGATATATATTTGGTTATTACTTATTGCAAAATTGAATATTTTTTAGAGTATTTGGTTGGATTGTGAAAAATATTTTTAAAAAAGATAATTATTATAAATTAATAATATGATTAGTAAATCTGATAGTATTTTGATAAAAAAAGAATTAGTATTAAGTAATGATATGATATTAAGAATTAAGATAGTTGCTAAGCAAATTGAATTCCGCGTAAAAGCACAACAAACAATTATTTTCCTCATTTGGTAGATTTTTTTTTTTTTTTT